GCCGGTATGTATTCTCTCACCTCCCGATCTACTGAGCCGACCTGTGACAGTGTCATTGTCACAGGTCGACTATGAGGTGAGTGAAAAGCCCCTCCCCCCCCTCATAGTTCTCCTTTAGGCCCCGTTCACATTGAGCGATTTATCGCGCGATTTTTGCAGCGATATCGCTCATATTTCCGCGCTATATCGCTCTATGTAGCTTCACCAATACATTTCAATGTAGCTGTTCACATCTCGTCGCTCAATATCGCTCAATATCGCTTGTAGCTCGTTTTAGAGCGATTTTGAGCGATATTGCTCCGGATTGCATACAGCCCAATAGGAAGATGTTGCGCGATGTCGCGCGACACGCCGCTCAACGTCGCTCAATGTCGCTCAGTGTGAATGGGGTCTTAATGTTTCCTGTGAAGCCTCCACATAAAGGGAACTCGGCAGAACTTTTAAAAAGTTTTTGTCCACTGGAACCTTCCACCCGTGAACAAAGCCGCGAGTTCTGAGAACCGGACAGTCTATGTGATCCATTCTGCGCAGTCCGGCCGATTGATTAAGCCTTCCAGGTTAAGCCATGAACAAACATTTGCCCGACCAATAGGGATCTTCTGCCATTGAGCTGGCGTTCGGTAAGGCAACTCTTGTCCATCAATGGCAGCAGAATAGCAGAAACTGTCAGGCGAACGAATAGCCATTAATCATTCACTGGGCAGAGGTCCAATGGAATCATTGATCAATGTGTAGCCATCTTTGTTCTAAGTTGGCCGCCATTCTGTGCTATGAAGGGCTCACACAGCACATGCGGCAACCCAAATAGTAAGTTGCGTTAATAAATTACTTTTACGTCTCGAAAAAGTTTCTGAAATTTTCACCCATTTGAGATGATCTGAACATTGTCTGATAAACAAGTTATTTACGGCCGATGGCATTATGATACAAAAGGTATCGGTGGATCAGAACTTGATGATCCAGTACAGGACGGGGTCTGCCATGGGGATCAGGTCGATCATTGCTCCTTTCAAACAATATATTTGCCTGCACATTCGCTCGCCTCCAGGACTTCTCCAGAGTGTCTGAAGACATCCTCTGGAACGCCTTACCCCATCCTGTCCGCCTATCTCCTACGCTGCCCACCTTTAGGCCCCATTCACACGGAGCGTTTTATCGCACGGCAATCCGCGCGATATCGCGAATATTTACTGCGCGATATCGCTCTCCAATACATGGCAATGGGGCTCTGTCCGTCGCTGTCGCGGGTCGTGCGTCGCTACAGCGGGACCCTTTTTGGAGCGGATTTTGGCGCGATTCTACTTTGCTCAATGCAACCATTTGCACGATATCGCGCAAAATGACAATCGCGCGATTTGCGATATGCTCAGTGTGAATGGGGCCTTAGGCAATCTTTAAAAACCCATCTCTCCGGGGAAGCCGATCTCATCTCAACATAACTGCCTTTTACTTCCTCCAATAACTCAATCCAAACGATTATTACCCTTTGTATCACTGGCCCCTCCTACTAGATTGTAAGCTCTCAGGAGCAGGGGCCCTCCCGACCCTATTGTACTGAAACTGTATTGTAAATTGTATTGCAACTGTACTGTCTCCACTATTTTGTAAAGCGCTGAGCAAATTGTTGGCGCTCTATAAATCCCGTATAATAACAATAATGGGAGATCTGATTGGAAGGAACTTTCAGCGTATTTGTAGGAAATGTTCACAATAAACGTGACAAACATTTTGTCTTGATCGAATCGATTTGATCTGATTTGAGACCTGCCGTGCTGATCCCCTCACGCTCACCTGTGCCCATGCCAATCACACATTTGCCGCCACATGTCCTCTACATTTACTAATGATGTGAACCTCCAGGGCGAACGTTGGCGTCCATCCATTAAATGCAGGCCAGTCCGGGCACGCTAAATTGGCGTACTGTTAATAATCGCCCCCTATGATGCAACCAATATTTATTTTTTTAGCCGTTTTGTGGCACGAGATGAAATACTTATTAGCAATTCTCTTTCAATCCGCGTTGCAATCGCCATGTTGGTCAACAAAGGGGCTCATCCTCCTGCCATTAAGTGATGAAAAATCCCAGGTGTGATCCCGATTCTAGTGATCAATTGCCTCTGGATCCCCCATTTGGCACATCTGCCAGAGTCTGACCATCGAGTTGGTTGCTGTGGGTCCTAATTGGGGCGTGCGATGCTTGGGTCCAGCAGAGGGCAGCACCGGATGCAGTATCCGCACAAGTATGTAACACATTCCGGGGAAGAATCTCTCCACACAAGACATAAGAGCTACAGATCATCCGCTGCCAGTTGTCACAGACTCGAGTAGTGTGAAGTCACGCTGCGGACACAATAAAACCCAGCGGGACGGAATATATCGAGTGTGCGCTATATATAGGCCGCTGCCCGAGGGGGGAGGGGGGTATTGTATTCACAATTTTATTCCTAATGCCGATCCTGGCACACTGCATATAGATGGTGAAAATACTTTATTACACTTCAGCTAAACTTCAATAATATGAAACCGCTACAATGTGTACAGGAACCTCGGACTGAGGGGCACAGCCGCACCTGCAAAACGCTTCTGATCTGGGAACGCCAACGCAGCTATTCCTATCTCTGCCTACTGTGCCTGGCGCATAGTGTTTAGGGTGACATCATCGATTGCGATGATGTCATCCTTCTCGGCACCCCCACCTCACACCACCTCCCTAAGGGCCATGTCACACTGGGGACCTCTTCAGTGATTTCAGTTACATAGTTACATAGTATTTGAGGTTGAATAAAGACATATGTCCATCAAGTCCAACCTATTGTGTGTGTGTGTGGGTGTAAAGATCCTCGCGTCATCTTGTTTTTAGGAGTACTTGTACCCCTGTATATTACCGTTTCTCAGGAAATCGTCCAAAAGCCTCTTGAATGATTCCAGACTATTAGCTGAAATCACTGCTTGCGGCAGCGAGTTCCAGACCCTAACCGCGCCAACTGAGAAGAACCCCCTACGCCCCTTGTGTTTGAATTTTTTTTCTACCAGTTTCAGGTGGCGGCCTCTAGTCTTTGTTACGGAATTAATCGTGAAGAGTTTATTGCTAATGTCGCTATGACTATGGAACATTTTGTATGTGAAAATCATGTCCCCCCTTAATCTCCTAAGTCTAAGTGATTTTCGAAGGAATCGATAACACGATAATTGTATGACGATTTTATAAGCTCCGACACCCAGCGATTCAGCTTGTGGCGTGGTCCATGCCGGTGACAATCGCTCTGCATTCACCTCTATGGCTTAGCCACAGAAAGTGAGCGGGCGGTGAACACTATGCTAATCATTTTGCGATAAATCAATACTTGGCGGCAAATAGACGAAAGCCTCTGTCGGGCGTACGGAGCGATTATCAGCGGCGAGGTCAGCTCAGGGCGACATTTATGAAACTTGTGCAGCCAGAAAATAGCCGATGTGCTCATTTCACATAATTTCTTTACTACTCTCAGAGGTTTGGTTTTTAGCACAATATCATATTTTCGGCCTCTGAATTTTACTACAAAACTGTACAAAATACGAGATTTGACTCACACAGGAAATACATTGGGCGCTCTGTGGTCTGGTAAAGGTCAATGTTAAGAATAGCCGTATGTTTTCCTCAGTATTGTCAATTGTATTCAATGGGTCTGGTTCACAGCTTGCCGTATGTCCGCCCGTCCCTAACGCGATACAAAACGCGGCCTACGCCCAAAGAAGTACATGTACTTCTTTGGGGCGTTTTGGTCTCGCGTTTCCATTGGGATACAGCCAAGTAGCCCACGGAAACGCTTTTTTTTACCGCGGATCGCGGTACGCCTAGGTGTGAACCCAGGTTCTATTATAACCTGGAGAAAGAGAATAAAACTGATACAATGTAACAGACAGGTGGGGACTAGAGAGGGAATACGGGATACAAAGGTGCATGGAGTCAGCGTGCAGATCCCTCATACATCCTGTACACAGTCAATCTTATATGTGCACCAGGAACCGATTAGACAGGTCCTCTTTGCTGAATTTTGTGTGTTGACGCTCGCAGTGTGCACCCAGAACGATCTCCATTGATTGTGTGCGGAAGATATAAGAGATGCACATTATTGGCTGCATTGTATAGAGAGACAAGAGCGGCCAATTCTCTGGAAGGAACCGGTGAATTGGGCCCGATTGGTGGAAAACTTGAGAAGATTTATTGCGACGGGTCTTCCTATACAGCGCGGTTTTCCTCCACAGTAAAATGATCAGATAGAAAGGAAGTGAATTCATTTCTACAATCAGCTGTGGTCACCAGCGGACACTCAAGAAGAATGGAAAATGATCAGAATGATCCACTCAGCGGAGTGACTCCCCCCTCGGAGGTTTTGCTCCGTCGTGTCACCGCTATCATGTCTGCCCGCCGGCTTCAACCACTTCTGTGAGTTGTGGTGGGGGAGGAGTATGCTGTAGGGTCACAGGTGGTTCCCCTTTAAATCCTACGAGGTTCATGTCGCGGTGAAAGCTATGAGATCCTTTCCTTATATCAGGGCTCATTCGGAGCAGAACGCAGACTCGGCCCGTATTCAATGTAACCAAATACTGAGCTGCTGGTTCCGATCTGTACAGGGGGCTCAATCCCGGAGCTATTGGCAGTCCGTTCATTACATAGAAGGAATAGTTCTGCTGAGTCAGCGATCTGATAAACGTTACATTGCAACACAAACTTCCTTCTGGGTGCCCGCCATGTTGAATATACATTGGCACAAGGCACACCCCCCTAAGGTCATGTGACTTCTACGCTCAGCCAGATAATGGCGTCTTTTAGTCTCGGCTGAGGAAGCGCAAGGCAAAGCGGCCGGTGCACCAAAACACAATAATCTGCGGGTGTTGGGGGAAGGGGAGGGCCAGAAATGGTCTGCTCCCCCCATCTACGTCACAGAGCAAAGAGGCCGCTCAGGCGGAAGCCATGCCGAGACATACAAAATGCTTTACAAGAGATCGGAGGGACTCACTGCGTGTAAACTCCTAACGCACATCCTTCCTGTGACGGCGTCAAACAGCATCTGAAATACAGGAAAAATCGGAGGGAGGCGTCAGAAGGGACTCAGCAGCACAGATACGTTAACCAGCCTACAGGGGGCGCTAGAGGGGGGAATGCATTGTGGGAATACAGCCTCAGAGGGCAATGGCAGCCGGTCACTGAACAGAGGACACTGGGCTGTGACCGCATATGGCCCGGGCACTTGGGTCCCTGGTGTGGTCACGCAATGTCTTAAGGGCAGAACAGATCTGTGGATGGGGCCAAAGCCACACATTTTCTGTACAAACTCATTAAGACTGAGCATGATAGCCAGAGTATCTCTACCAATCAGAGTGGCACTTCATGCAGGGGCCACAGGAGGGGCCCTAACTACTCTAAGGGGTATCATGTCATTTATAAAGCGATATACAGGAAGAATGAACAATTCTGTGTACAATGTGATGACTTTCTATAGTCCCTGTTCAGGACCCATTCAGGTACATTCACGGAGCGCAGGGGGTATAATGAACCAAAGTCAATGGACAGATTCACCTCTCCTGTGCTACAGTCTGACCGCACTGCCTCCTGCTTCCAGGACCCCACTGCCTCCTACTTCTAGGCCTTCACTGCCTCATGCATCTAGGACCCCACTGCCTCCTGCTTCCAGGACCCCACTGCCTTCTACTTCTAGGCCTTCACTGCCTCATGCATCTAGGACCCCACTGCCTCCTGCTTCCAGGACCCCACTGCCTCATGCTTCTAGGCCTTCACTGCCTCATGCATCTAGGACCCCTAGGCCTTCACTGCCTCCTGCTACCAGGACTACACTGCCTCCTACTTCTAGGCCTTCACTGCCTCCTACTTCTAGGACCCCACTTCTTCCTACTTCTAGGACCCCACTGCCTCCTACTTCTAGGCCTTCACTGCCTCCTACTTCTAGGACCCCACTGCTTCCTACTTCTAGGCCTTCACTGCCTCCTACTTCTAGGACCCCACTGCTTCCTACTTCTAGGACTGCCCCACTGCCTCTTGCTTGCAGGATCCCACTGCCTCCTACTTCTAGGATCCCACTGCCTCCTACTTCTAGGACCCCACTGCCTCCTACTTCTAGGCCTTCACTGCCTCCTACTTCTAGGACTGCCCCACTGCCTCTTGCTTGCAGGACCCCACTGCCTCCTACTTCTAGGACTGCACTGCTTCTTACTTCTAGGCCTACACTGCCTCCTGCTTATAGGACTGCACTGCCCTCTACTTCCAGGACTGCACTGCCCTCTACTTCCAGGACTGCACTGCCCTCTACTTCCAGGACTGCATGGCCTCCTACTTCTAGGACCACACTGCCTCCTGCTTCTAGGACTGCACTGCCTCCTGCTTTGAAGACTGCATGGCCTCCTGCTTCCAGGACCACAATGCCTCTTGGTTCCAGGACCGCACTGCCTCCTGCTTTGAAGACTGCATGGCCTCCTGCTTCCAGGACCGCAGGGGAAGATGCTATCAAACAACTGTATCTTTCTGGGGATGCTTTCTATAAAGTTTTACCAGGAAAAGAACACAAAAGAAAAGACAGAAGGAAAAATCCGCTGAAGGCACCATGTGACTCAATGTGGTAATCAATGATTTTCATTGCATTCATACAGCAGAAAGAGAAGGTGGCCCCAGAGGAGGAGGAGGGGGGGGAGGGGAGTCAGCGATGTCTTTGAGGATGTCTAACCTCGCGTCTCGCCCTATCGGACAGCTGTATTCTTTTCCCCCTTCCCAGACCTTGGATCACGGTCACCAATAAAAGGATAGACCTTGAGGGTCTTGGCGCCCGGCAGTTCATTGATGGATACAATGTTGTTTGTTTTTGTTAATTGGTATCTAGAAATGGCATCAAGTTTATCTGTGTCGCACTGGGCGGGGCCTGTTTCCTAACTGCAGGCAGATCATGCGAGCCTAAACCACAACGCTGAAAGCGCGCGCGGCAATCTGCTTCCCTATAAATCACAAAAATAACCCGAGCACCCGGCTCCTGCAGCATTACAGATGGTAACAGATAATCATCTCCTTAATCTGCTTTCTCACATTATCTCGCCCTCTGACAATTCACACGGCACACACGCACTTATCTTCCTGTACATGGGCAGTGTCAGCTACCAGATGCCGAAACCTCTAGCCCTGCGCATTGGTAGAGACACCGGGGACGCCGGACAAAAATCGCGCACTTCCCGAATCCCGGCAAGTGATACTGCGCCGCGCGTACAGAAGATGACGGGTGACGTGCAGGATTCGTTACCCACATGGATGCAAATGTTATCTCTGATGTCTTCACTGGGGATGAGTACAACGGGGAGATTTTATTTCCCCCGATATTTCAGAGAGATTTTAACTACGTCCATCAAGTCCAAAATGGGTTGGACTTGATGGACCCGTGTCTTTATTCAACCCCAAATACTATGTAACTAAATTTTAGGAAATTCTGGAAAAATGCATCGAAGTGAATGCGGAAGGTGAAATGAGGGTGTTTTAAGGGTACAAAAGGCTGTAAATGTGTCCGGAGAGTTACAGAAGATCCTCTCGCCTATCCTGGACCTAAATCTTTTACCAAAAAATTACCCTTTTTTTTTCCCCCCAAAACAAAAAAGACAGACAATAGAAAAAAATTTAAATGCAAAATTTAAAGCGACGGTACACAAATAATTTATACAGGCAGTGTGAAATCTATATACATAACTGAAGAAATGGAGCGGGTCCTGGAGCAAACCCCTTTGTTTATTAGGAGAGATCCGTTCCATTTTCTAGGTTGCATCTGAGCCAAACACGCACGGGGAGAGGCCAACCGGAGCTTCCCGCTCTTTTCAAGCAAATTGCATCAAAGCAACTCAGTGAGCGAAATTGAGAATTTTACTGCAAATTTGGTTTTGCCCTCTCGCTCATCTCTCTGTAAGAGGGAGTCAAAGGTTTCTCCTTTTGCAGGATAACTTCATCCAATGTTGCCTCTTCCCCACATCCTGTCCCCTAAAAAGGATGGTGGGGTTTGTGGGGGGACATCATGGAATCTGGAAGCCCCCTTTCTAATGCGTTTTCAGGGCCTCAGTGCTCCCCCTTCATTAGGGTTGGATGATAGTACAATTTGTTGTCCAGTATTCTCCATATTTACAATCAGCATCCAAGCCCTGATGAAGGGGGAGCACTGAGGCCCTGAAATACATTGGATTTTTTCTTGTAACCTTTTTTTTATGTTACAAAACATATCCTTCTTATTTTGGGTTTAGTGTTCTACCAACACAACCATTGTTGAGATATAAAGGAAGAAAGGAAAGAAGGAAGGGTCATGTGACGAAGACACGAGCAAAGTGCGGTCGCTGCGGGAGGGAGAGTGTTCCAAAGGCTTCTGCATTCAGCAATTCACCTAACGTGGAATTCAATTTGTTGGTGACCACTGACACACACACTCTTTGTTGTTCTTTGTATCAGGACGTCGCTCTCAGGCGCCTCACTGTACAGGTCCTGGTAAAGAAATGGAACGTGTTTGGAAAGTTTACGTCTCCAATAAAAGGCTTTGTGAAAATTCCAAATGCCCGACACCAATTGGCAGCTGAGGCGGTGCAAGACTCCACCATAAGAGGCCACAAGACAGGAATAGATCACACACCGTCCTTATTGGACATACACCACAGGTGACCTCATTCCTTCACACCACCAGAGGTGGCCGTGTGTCTGCAAGGATGACGAAACTCTACTGATTCAACCATAGAAGGTCAATCTCAATGGAGAACAATCCTGTACCACGCCGGCACCTACCACGCTCAATATGAGCACCAGCTGGGGTTAGGAGGGGGGGGCGCAGGCCGGGCGGTGAGCTCACACAATGGATACAAACTGACAATTTCATCTCACGCAGATATCGAGATGCCTCAAGCCACATTGTGTGCTGAAAGGATAACGTATCGTTCAAGAGCTTGCTATCATTTCCAGCACCGGGAGATGTTATATATTCATAGATCACTCATTCCGGAAAGGACATGTCCGGGTTTGGTGGATGCTAAAGAGCTTAAATATAGAATCCCAACCAATTACGAGTGGGCGGCACGTGTTCCAATTCATAAGAAGTCGGATTGTTTCGGCCTTATGAAGAATGTTCAGTGAAGTCAGGAAGACTTCCGATTGTGTTGGACTGACCACCACACATGCTGAAGGGAAGAGATCACATTGCAAGCTGTGCGGTTCTCCTCATCCTCCCGTGTTCACAAATAGCACAGAGAGCTGCCTGCGGCACAGACGCGACGGGGTTACCTTGTCACTTCGGCAGTTGTTCAGTCCCAGATTGTTCAGTCCCAGATTGTTCTTCCCATCTATGCCGTGGGGTTGGTGATGCTCCCGCTGGATCTGTTCTCTCATCTTCCGCGCCTCTTGTATGGCCTTCATGACCGTGTCCTGGTCCCCAAACAGCGCCGGAGAGTTCAGACTGGACAGGATATCTGCTGGGACAACAAATGGCATCAATGAGCGCAAAACTGATGTGACAGCACAGGAAGCTGGGCGTCACCCAGACTGACCAATCAGCTGCTAGCTCATACAGCTAACCTGGTGTTCACACCTCCCACAGTAAACTCCTTGCAACATTTTAGGGTAGTTCTAACCCTCCCCCAATCCATCCAAAACTATTATAAAGTTTTAGGGAGGTGTTCTTAATATCCGTGTCTATAATACATTATTATCATCATCATCATCATCATCAGGGAGCACTCGGGGCCCCTCTGTAGGCTGCGGTACAGCCCTCTCCTTGTGTCCCAGACTCCGGTGTGTCAGATTCCTCACCCCTCTGAAGGGCGCCTTGTTTTGCTGCTGGGGCCGGGAAAGTGAATCAGCTGGTACTTGGGAATCATTTTTGGATGCAGAGAGGATAAAAATAGATTGAGCCGTGTTTATCAGAGACCGAGGAACAATCCGCCCTTTATATCAAAATAATATAGCCGTGGCTGTCTGTGGCCCCTTCCCTGCCTTGTCTCCGTGCCCCACTGCCCAACTCTCCCCTTGCCCATGGCCCCCCCCTTGCCTGTGGCCCCCCTGCCTTGTATGTGGCCCATTCCCTGCCTTGTCTCCTTGCCCAACTCTCCCCTTGCCCCCTGCCTTGTCTCTGTGCCCCACTCCCCAACTCTCCCCTTGCCCATGGCCCCCCCTGCCTTATCTGTGCCCTGCTCCCCAACATTGCCCTTGGCCCCTCTGCCTTATCTGTGGCCCTCCTCTTGCCTTGTCTGTGGCTCTGTCTGTGGCCCTTTCCCTGCCTTTTCTGTGCCCCGCTCCCCAACCCCCTCCCTTGCCTGTGGCCCTCTTCCTAGAGACAATGATAAATATCTTGTTTTGCACAGTGATGGCGCCTTGTACCCCAGGTTATTATTTTGGATACATTTGATGCAATCTTGAACTTTTAAAGGCCGGTGTTTCGGTCTCCTGTGTAGAAATGATTCACTGTATATGATTTACACTCCCAGCTGTAGATAATGACGGAACTTCCCCTTGTCACCTTTTCTGAGAACTTTCCGAAGAAACAGGTTACACGCGGAAGAGGCTGCTCAATAACGTGCGGCCCTCGGCTCATTACCAGCCAAAGCTGTACGAGGGGCTCTGAGCCCTTATCTGGAATCAGCTGTGACAGAGACAAAAGTACTAGTTACAGGACGGAGGCTGCCAGTCATGTTCAGTAAACGATAACTCGCAGACGGAGGCTGTTCAGTCATTCACAGGCCTCGGCTCATTAACTTTTATTGGACAGCTGAAGGCTGTGTTGAGTTCTGAGCCCTAATCTGCAATCAACTGCGCTAAGACAAAGTACTTGATACAGGATTGGCTGTCACAGATATTCATTATAGGCAAAGTCACCGGAGGAGGTCGATCTGTGATTTATAGGCCGCGGCTCATTAACTTCTGGACAGCTGAGGGCTAAGTTTGGGTAAGAGCCCTTTTCTCACTCACCTAAGGAGGACCCCCGGCCCAGGGCTCCGCTGATTGGGCTGGGAATGCCGCTCTTGCTGGAGAGGCTCACCGGGCTGGTCTTGCTGGGCGGGAAGAAGTTCTGAGTGGGAGAGGTGGGCGACTTCACGGGCTCGGCCGTCTTCGGTCGCGCCGACAAGTTGAGCGGCTGGGCGGCCTCGTCCTGCGGGGGAGATGTCACATAAACAATGATTAGAGGGAGATAAATGGGCCGCATTAGCACTTAAGACGCGGCGGATGTTTTACACCTCCCAGACAATGCCGCTATCTGCCGCCATAATAACAAAGGAAGCTAATTATCAGCGCACTCGCGGATCCCCCCCAACAAACGCTCATTAATTCCTCCTATTTACATCAACACCAGCGCTGCTCAGCAAATTAGAATCTGAATTACAGCACATGGCAGCTCACTCCTTAATGTGTTTTCTGAGATTTAAATTAACCCGGGGCAAAGAATTATTCAAATTCCCGGCGAGAGGAGAGAGACGGCGGAGGAGGAGGAGAGCGACTCCACGGATACAGACCGAGACTTCTCCACATGTGGGGTCCAAGTGCTGCTTCCCCCAGCTCCACTTTTCAATATGACCTTCCTCCTTCCCTTCAGTCTTCTCTCTGATCTCCGTCCTCCCTTCAGTCTTCTATCTGACCTCCGTCCTTCCCTTCAGTCTTCTCTCTGATCTCCGTGCTCCCTTCAGTCTTGTATCTGACCTCCGTCCTCCCCTTCAGTCTTCTATCTGCCCTCCGTCCTCCCCTTCAGTCTTCTATCTGCCCTCCGTCCTCCCCTTCAGTCTTCTATCTGCCCTCCGTCCTCCCCTTCAGTCTTCTATCTGCCCTCCGTCCTCCCCTTCAGTCTTCTATCTGCCCTCCGTCCTCCCCTTCAGTCTTCTATCTGCCCTCCGTCCTCCCCTTCAGTCTTCTATCTGCCCTCCGTCCTCCCCTTCAGTCTTCTATCTGCCCTCCGTCCTCCCCTTCAGTCTTCTATCTGCCCTCCGTCCTCCCCTTCAGTCTTCTATCTGCCCTCCGTCCTCCCCTTCAGTCTTCTATCTGCCCTCCGTCCTCCCCTTCAGTCTTCTATCTGCCCTCCGTCCTCCCCTTCAGTCTTCTATCTGCCCTCCGTCCTCCCCTTCAGTCTTCTATCTGCCCTCCGTCCTCCCCTTCAGTCTTCTATCTGCCCTCCGTCCTCCCCTTCAGTCTTCTATCTGCCCTCCGTCCTCCCCTTCAGTCTTCTATCTGCCCTCCGTCCTCCCCTTCAGTCTTCTATCTGCCCTCCGTCCTCCCCTTCAGTCTTCTATCTGCCCTCCGTCCTCCCCTTCAGTCTTCTATCTGCCCTCCGTCCTCCCCTTCAGTCTTCTATCTGCCCTCCGTCCTCCCCTTCAGTCTTCTATCTGCCCTCCGTCCTCCCCTTCAGTCTTCTATCTGCCCTCCGTCCTCCCCTTCAGTCTTCTATCTGCCCTCCGTCCTCCCCTTCAGTCTTCTATCTGCCCTCCGTCCTCCCCTTCAGTCTTCTATCTGCCCTCCGTCCTCCCCTTCAGTCTTCTATCTGCCCTCCGTCCTCCCCTTCAGTCTTCTATCTGCCCTCCGTCCTCCCCTTCAGTCTTCTATCTGCCCTCCGTCCTCCCCTTCAGTCTTCTATCTGCCCTCCGTCCTCCCCTTCAGTCTTCTATCTGCCCTCCGTCCTCCCCTTCAGTCTTCTATCTGCCCTCCGTCCTCCCCTTCAGTCTTCTATCTGCCCTCCGTCCTCCCCTTCAGTCTTCTATCTGCCCTCCGTCCTCCCCTTCAGTCTTCTATCTGACCTCCGTCCTCCCCTTCAGTCTGATTTGAATACCACCATGTCAGTACAGCGTTGTATGACGGAATAAATGTCAAAGGTCGGCAGCGCTGAAAACTGTCCGGGGCAGGAACGGGGGAACACGCGGCCTTCAAGCAGTTAATACGTCCAGTGGAGGTTTTATGGCGATGACGGGGTTAATTTCAGTATTACATATCAGTTACATCCAGAGCCGCCATTAATGAACAATGGTCGGGGTGACGGGGGGGGGGGGGGCGTCCCGAGAAGGACACTCTTT